CAGCCTCCCTACTCGCAGCAGCAGTCGCAGTCGCCCTACCAGCAGCAGCAGCAGGCCCAGCAGACGGCATCCTCGGCCCTCTCGCAGCAGTCGTCGTCATACCCTCCGTCGCAGCCGCAGCAGCAGCAGTCTGCCTACTCCCAGCAGCGCTTCCCCCCTCCTCAGGTAGGCTGCCTCTGGCTTTGTTTCCTTCTGTGATTTGTTTTTTTTAAAAAAGAACTACAGGCAAATCCTTTTCTTTGTGCATCAAGGGCAGTTGGGACTACATGGCAGCAAGCTGGCTGGAAGGATTTTGGTAGTAAGCGCGGCCTTCTCTGTTGCATGTAGATCTGTATCTCTTGCAGAGAGGTGTTAGGGCGGTAACGGGCTAAACCGGGCTAATACTGCGCTTTTGAAGACTAGTGTTGAGAAAATGCTGCTGATGGGCAGGACTGGACTAAAGGGATTCTTGACAGAATGGCTTTCACACTGTGGTCTGTGGAAGTTCTCCAGGTGTTCTCCAGAGCTACAGTTGGTGTTGCACAAGAGCAGAACACACAGTTTGCAGAGTGACACGTAGCTGGTGACAGAAGAGTTTGCTCTTAAATGTAAAACTTGGCTTTAGGCAGGAGGAATAAAGCAGCAAGTACATGGAATTGACGATAAAATCGTGAAGCTTTTTTTTTTTTTTCTCTCTATATGAATTGTATTTATTTTCAGCAAGGCTTAATAATATTTGAATAGTTGTGTGAAAAGCTAGCGGGGACCTCTCAGCAAACGCTGCGGTGCATCAAAGGTAGCTTCTGAGAAGTTGAAGATTTTGACTTGCCTTGTTTATGTGATGAAGTACTTGGAGCTGTTGTAGAAGATCGAGAAGCTAAGTGGGCAGGCTCCAAGAACAGTCTGCGTTCTTCAGCATCTGTAAGAAGGGAAAGCTGGAGAATTCCTGTTTTGTCATGCTTTAGACTTCTGCTCCCGACACACTCTGGAGTAGCCCAGCAGCGCTTGTCCTGCAGAGCAGCGGGCGTGCTGGCCTTAACTCTTTGCCGCCTTATTTCCTGTTCTGGGCAAGTGTCGCCGGGGGTACATAATTCTTCCACAATGTGGGACTCTGGCAGAGTGATTCCAGCAGAGCCTTTATTTTATTCCTGTTTGTGGACTATTTTTATTTTTTTTCTGTGTGTTTCTTGATGTTTCAGGAGTTATCTCAAGACTCGTTCGGGTCCCAGGCATCATCTGCTCCCTCAATGGCTTCCAGTAAAGGGCAAGAAGACATGAACTTGAATCTTCAGTCCAGACCTTCGAGCCTGCCGGTGAGTGGTGAGCCGATCTAAAACTGAGCGGGGCGAGGGCAATCAGAAGCACAGCAGGATAAATTAGCACTGGTAGTATTCCACATGGAAATGGGAGTGATGGAGGCTGCCTGTGCTTTTTACTAAGTCATTAGCTTCTGGCTTCCCACTGGAGATTAAATGTAATTTACAAAAGTAATAGATTTGAGAGTAAAGTTTAACCCTAAATAGTCTGCATGTTCTAGCTAAAAGATTTTTCTTTTTTGAGCTTTCTATTGACAGTGTCTGAAGTACCTGACCTTCAGGCAACATGTCTTGTTTTTATTTTATTTCCTTGTTCCTTCAGCCCCACTGTTGTGCTGGTGGTTAGCAGACCGGCAGTGCGGTTCCCTTTCTGTGTCAGTGGATCCTTATTCTGCTGATTTAAGCTTCTTTGGTCCAATCTTGACCGAGCAGTTGGTGAAAAAGACCTGGAGTGAGGAAGATCAGTCACAGATAGCTCCTTCCTTGACAGATGGAGAATTACGTTTTCTTTTGCATTCTAAATCTGCGTGCTCTGTGTACGGTGAATGGTTGGGTGTGAGATTAGCGCCCGGTGTTCCGATGGTTTTTGCACTAGAATGGTCTAACTTTGAGTTCAAACTTCACCACGAAAATGGAAAGGGGTTAAAATTTTAGATTAGTTTGCCCAAGTTGGTCTGTGCCTCTGACTTGGAGGAGAAGTTTTGAGCTGCTGAGTTCTGATTTTGCTGGTTACTATTCATTGTAAGCAGTAGGAAGCGAGCGAGCTTTTTTTTTATTATTATTTAGCCACTGGCTAAGTCAGTTTTCTAAGCTGCAGCTGGATTGGTCAGAGGAGAGTGAGCTGGGTATATAGCAAAGTTATTTTTGCTCTCAGCAATGAGAATGGCTTTGTTGTGAGCCCCTTGAAATAATTCCTTTGGATCGTGGGTACAAATTGTCACCCAAAATACAAAGTGATTCTAGTTCTGACCACCTAATGGGAGTAGTTGTGGGTCGTTTCTTTTTTCTTCCTTTTTTTTTCCCCCTCCTTCCTTTTGGACCCTGATTACAAAGATTTAATTTGTTCTGAGGCCTGGGGGGGAAAAAAAAAAAAAATCCTTTTAAATAGCATGTTTCTTTCCACTCTGCCTCTCCACAAGTTCTTCCATGTGACCCATCTTCTGGCGAAGAATGTAGGAAAAGTGAAGCCACTGAAGTAATTGAAGAAATTGCTCTCGCTCCGAACGGTGGGAAGTCCTGTTCAGTCGCATTGTTGATCGAGCCTTCACGAGTCCTACCAATCAGCGCCCTCTGACTCAGATTATAGGAATTAGTTGCTCTGCTTAGCAGAAGTGGCTCCTTCTCAGCACCGAGTGGGAGTTTGTTTTATACCTTGTGGTTAAATGTATTTGGCCCCTTTCAAGTTTTCCCTTTTTCGAAGCAGTTGAAGAGGAGATAGCTGGCTCTGCTGTGAGAGGGAAAGAATTTAGGAGTGAAAGAGTTTGATCCAGTTGCAAAGTTTTCAATGTCCGTTGATTTTTCTGATCGGATGTTTCAGAGGTTTACTGAAAAGAAATCCAAGGCACAGAAAATAGAATTTTAGAATTGGCTATCTGGGAAGCTCGCTTCTATTTTAAACAGATTTTATAATCCTCTTGTTTTCCTGGCTTTACCAGCAAATAATTTGCATTTAAAACATCAAGCGGTCTTAGCATACCCAGCCCTGATGTATTGTGCAGCTGCCTTTTCCTTGATAGGCAAAATTTTTTTTAAGCAAGAGAGACCCCCTGCAGAAACTCACTCTTCTTGTCCATATTTCATGATTTCTTGTCTTGTTGTTATGATTTTGTAGGACAAGACCAGCACCCCGTCTGTAAATTGAGAAATGCATCAGGCAGTGATGCTGGGGAATGGTTTAAGGGGGAGGATCTCTGAGGTGTGTGGAAGCCAACTCTTTGTTTCTGTCATCAATCTCTTGCGCGAAGTTTGGCCTGGGGATGCTTAGAAACAAAAGAGCTACGTGGAAGGGTGCTATCGATTGCTTTTTATCTTCCTTATATTGCTCAGGCTGTCTGTTCTGGAAAGTTTTATCCCACTCGGGAGGATTCCTAGATCCCTGTTTTGCCATTATGTACGACTTACAGAAGCGTAGTTAGTTTATGGGCTTTTAATTCTTTTTTTGTGGAGTTTGGAGCTCTTTTCCAAGCCTCGGTGGGTGCTGTGGAACAGCTCGCTGGGTATCTTGGAATCGGGGCGAATTGTGCTGTGCATCATCTTTAATTAAACATGGATCAGCTCCAGTGGGAAAAGGAGGTTGCTGCTTTTTAGGTTCTTATGAAGCGTTAAAAGTTGAATACCCGGGGCCTTCTCGAGTCTTTGGCCTTTACACATCAATATTGCACATCAACATTAATGCTGGAATTTTGAGCAGCACAGGGGGGAATGTTTCTTTGGCGGATCCTTTCGCCGTTTCAGGAGGTGACATTGCAAAGTTGTTCAACTCTGGTGGCTTTGTTTGGATCTGCCTGAGAAACGCCACGTTGCTCGCTCTGGGTGGGGATCTTCAAGGAATCTTCCCAGTAATGATTCTTCTGTCGTTAACTAAACTTCTTCCTGCCGATGTCAGACTTTTTAACAGCAGAAGAGTCAAATTACTGATTTCTCTAATGCTTTGCTCATCTCTGAGTAGCGAAATGTCTGGTCTTCAATTTCTGCTTCTGTTATAAGCTGTTCTAGCTGAAGTATTTCCTGGTTTCTTGTTCCCTTTCTGAAGATTTCACTTGCTGTATCTTGGGGAAGAATGCTGCTGCTGACTTGAACTCACTGGTGCCTCTTAAAGAGTAACGTGCCCGTGTGCGTGTCCTGGCTGGCAGTCTTCTCCTGCAGCAGGCTGGGTGAAGAATTTCTCTGAAGAATTTGCTGCTTCCCTAGGGAGGAGGCTCAGTCAGGATTGTGGCTCAACTAACCTTAGATTGCTATTGTGTATGGGAGAAGCGAAGCGTAATCTTTTGTGTCTGGGTGTAGTAGAGGAATAGTAATCCTTAGTATAAATCTGTTTCTCCCAGGAGATTCTCTAGTCTCTTCTTAGCAAAGAATTCTTCCTGCCAAGGCGCATCCGGTTTGGTTGGTATCTTTACATTATGAGGCTTGGTTTCTAAGTCTGTCGTCTGTCGGAATCAAATATTTATAGCCATTAATTATCTTCTGCTTAGACGTGGAAAGCGTTGGTTGCAGGTCCAGGGGAAGCAAATACGGTGTTAGGACATCCACTTGGGTTTGGGTTGTGAATCGGTTCTTCTGCGAAGTTCTAGAACTCTTCTGAAGTTGTAGATTCGTTGGGAGGAATTCTGGAACTCCTTACGGAACTTGCAACAGATGATCTTCTCACAGCGTCTGTTACGGGCAGTTGCAAAGGAGTTGAGTGCAAGTTCCTGGTGCTTTAGAGGAGTAGAGCATCAGGACAGGACTGTTTATACCTACCCAACCACAGAAGTCGGTGAACGTGGTGGTAGGGCTTCCAGACTGGTCCCAAAAGCCATTTTGAAGCAAACGCAATTTGATATCAACATGCGCCCGTTTGTATTGGCTTTTCACTGGCCCTACTGGCATTACTTCAGGGGACCTTTCCTGCCTGTGGACACCAGAACTCGTGCGAACACCAGAACTCGTGCAAACAGCAGAACTCATGCGAACACCAGAACTCGTGTGAGTGGTATTGGTTTCAGCAATACTAACGCAAAAAAGGTTCTGAATTGGGTGGGACCTCTGGCTTAACCAGGAGGACAGATAAGGGCGAGGTTTTGGAGGTCTTGAAATGGCAAAGTTGCGTTTGAACTTTTGTTGCAGCGGGTCCGTAAGGAAGCAAACTGGCAGCTTGGACTGAAGCCTTAGAATTCCCACCCCAGCGTGTCTTTGGTTTGTTTTGGTCAGTGAACTGCGTAGCCTGAGGGAGAAAGCCCCTCCCTGTTCTGGGCAGCTTATTGATGTGGAGTGGGAATCGTTTTAATCTCAATATTTTGCGCTATTGGAAGACTGTTCTGCTTGTTCAGCTGGGTTTCACTTTGGTTCATCTCTGCCTTCAGGTCTGAGAAGTGTCTTGTCAATGGCAGAAAGGAATATAACCAACTGAAAACAAATTCCTGACCCGTGTTTAACTTTTGAACGTGCGTTCTGGTCTCGGGTCTTTGCAGTACGGATTTAGAAAAATTGGGTTTTGTGGCGAAGGCAGAGGAACGAGACTGCAGAGTTTTGGCTTGTGCAGAAAGAACCCTTTTGTGGATGTTAAGTCAAGTAGTTTCTGAATTTGGACACAGAAGCAGCGTTTGGATTTCCATTCTTGCACAGTGGTCATTTCAACTTGTGCTCTGTGGGTACTTGAAGTGGAATAAAGTTGAGCTCTGTCAGCTGCGTCCCCTGACCTGGAAATAATCAAGGCAACAGGCTGAAATGCAGCAAAAAAACTGTCTCAGAATTGCTGTGGATGGGGAGGGAGGTGCAGCCCAGGAAATGAACATTTTCTTAAAAATTCTTGAAGCTTAAAATTAATCATTTTTACAGTGTTTTAGGGGAAAAGGACCTTTTAGAATTGAATCTGCTGGTCACTTCAAGCCCTTTTTTCCTTTTTCTCCTTCTGTATGGGACATCCTGCTTCTGTTTGGTTTGTATTTGGACCTTGTGAGCTTGTCTTATTGCTTGCCTTAAGAGAGGGATTAGCGATGTACGCATTTCAAAGCAGGGCAGTGGCATGCTGTGGTGCTTGGGCATCACAGTGGATATGCAGATCAACACTCCAGCGCCCGAGGTTTGCCCTCAGGAGCTCAATACCTGAAACACTGGTATTAGAGAGATCAGTGCATTCCGGTTTATGCTAATACGAGGGTTTCTATCCCAAGTTATGGTGCTTCTATCACAAATCGTGGTGTTTCTATCCCAAGTTACAGTGATAAAAAGAGTTGAAAATGGTGGGGGTTTTTTTTTGTTGTTTTTTTTTTTTTTTTTCTGACCAAGGCTCCTCTGCT